GAAAAAAGAATCGATAAAGAATCGAATCGTTTCATAGAATCGAAAAGGGAATCGGAATCGTGAAAATCTTTTCAATTCCCAACCCTAACTGAAGGCTTAGACAGAAAGTCAAACCTTTGCTGTAAAAATCCAAACATCATCATCTTAGCAAACAGAGGAGCCCGCCGCCGCCTTGTCGTCAGAAACGCAGCTCTCCATCCTTAACTTCATACAGAGAGCCGTTCCTGGCTCAGACAGAGGTCCGTATGGAGAGCGGCATGTGTCCGAAAATCTTTCCCCATCTTTCCACAAAGCTGCTCTGGCAGCACGGATATAACCGAGATAACGACGACCATATAAACTCTGACATCCCCGGTTTCCAACATTTGGCTAAATGAACTAAACTCATCCCTGATCTTAATGATCAGATTCTCTCAAGTTAATGGCTATAAAATAAAATCACAGACCCTGAGACATTAGGACCCAGCTGAACATTTCTCTGACTTTTCACTATAAATATGTAGATCTCCGTCTGCAGAAGCTTTCCTCACTGTGAGGTAATTTCAGACGGACCTTCCAGAGGCTGAAGCAGCAGCACCCAGTCTGCAAACAAAGCCTCTTTGTTTGGCCGCTGCAGGTGAAACTGGAAGGACAAACCTGAAAGTCGGCCAGCTGGATGAGCCGCCGTTTCACGCCGCTCACACTCACTTATTTACAACTTTATAGACACAATGGAGTGATTTATGGGGAGAAATTTACTCTCGTGTTATTAAGAGCAACATACCACTTAAAGAAAAAAGAAGAAAACATGTTTTTCTTTTCTTTTTTAATGGAACTTTTTTTCTGGTTCTTTTCAATATTTCTTCTCTATAGATTTTATTTTTCTGGATTATGTTTTCCAAATATTTTTAGGGGAGACTGAGTTTTATGAAATTCATTATTTCATGACAAAGCTGCAGCTAACAGACACCTGTCCGCTGGTCCACGCCCAAAACAACAGAAGCATGGAGGTAAAAGTCTGGAAAACAGGATCAGTAACCACACCCCCCTAACAAAAAAAAAGGTTTAGCAAATTTTAAATTAAAAAAACACTTGGACCAAAAAATCTGAGAAAACTGTTAAAAAATATTGCTTAAACCTTTGAAAGTGCTTTGAAGAACTATTTAAATCACTTTTTTCATTGAGAATGAGTTTTAAAGTCCTGTTTTACACATATTTTCTTTTATTGGAATCTGTTCTTTACTTTCTCTGTTTTAGCAAATTGCTTTCAGAGTTTTCCACAGTTTCAGCAGCAGGTAGAAGCAGGCCAATAAAAGTGAATGAAGTGTGCAGATATACGTGTGAACACACATGCAGATCAACATGAACAAACTTTAGGCTTAGAAAATAGAACGGACATGTCGATTTTAAAACGACCTTTAATGCTGAATATTTGATCATGTTTTTCCTTCATGCTTTAAATAATATATTCCAAAAAAAAAGTATGAGTTGTTTCATCCCTTCCATGACTGCAGGTGTATAACGTCAAGCAGTATGGAGTGAATTTTGTTCCATTATTTTTGCAAGTAAATTTGAAAGGAATGCTGGTGAAGCTTCTCAGTCGTCCGGGTCATATTCATTCTAAAAAAGTTTAAAACAAAAACAATTCACTGGACTTTGTTTCCAAGTTTAAAGACGTTTCTCTTCCATCCAGGAAGATTTTTCAATTCAAAATGTCAGAAATAGTGTTGAATTCCAGGTTTTATCCAGCAGCCCAACAAAGCCTTG